CTTCATCATGATTTTTTGTTTCTAAATATAAACCATGGTAGCAAGAGATAAGAACAATTTCATCCAGGTTTCTGTACACTCCCATTTTGTCATTACTGCAGGTGCAAAAATACACCAAAAAGCATTACACTTCTACTTTCAGATAATATGCTTCTTGCTAGCAAAGTCTGAATGGGCTTTCATGAGTCTGTAGGATTAATTTTACAGAAATTACTAAACTCTGTATGAATTCCAGTAATTGCAAATGTGGCCTTCTAATATGCTGTTGGGTCATGTGAGAGCAAGATTATGGCCTTGCAAAACCTACTAACAGCAGATACTTCTCTTTCAAAAATTATGTGTCCGTCAAAGCCAGATATTATATTTTGTTTCAATTCCAGCTGTACTCTTTTTCAGTAGGGTAGTATGTTAGAAACACTTGCTAAAAAACAGGTTAGGAAGAAATGTCTGTGTATATGCATGCTCCAGCAAGTTTAAACTGCTCTTAAAAAACAATGTACTTCTCTGGTCAGAGGACCAGGCAGTTCACAGGTAGGCTGCGCCTACAGACATTGATGTGACTGTAGGAGGAGGCTTTCTTCTTTATCATTTGGCAATTTTTTTCCCAGTTATGTTTCACATTTCAATACTGGTGATTTTAAATAGACTGTTTGTAAAAGCAGAGCAAGAAAGTAAGCAAAACAGCAAATCTTTTATCAGAGAAGCTTAGGCTGTGAATGTACTCTGCAAGTAAGCAATTCTGCTGTTGTCATTGCTGTGTGAGGCTCCTGGGCAGAATGTTGATGAAAAAATTACTGAAATACATGTCTGTGACCTCAGCAAAGCACACCTGCAGGTAAAATAATACAAAAAAAAGTATTGCAGACTCTTTTTTTCCAGGGCCCAGAGCACAAAAATCAAAGGTTCGCCTTCAGATGGTATGTGATTACCTGGGTATGGAGTAAGAAACTCCACTGGGATGCAATTAATACAGCAGCCTGAGGCCTATCTTACTGATCTTACAATATTTTCCTAACTGTTGAGATTCTCATATCCTCTTGACTTTTATTACTTGCCCTAACTGGTGAGCTGTTAAATAAAATAACATCTACCATTGGGAAAAAAAAAGAAAAGAAAAGAAAAACAAAACAAAAAAGAAACTTGCAGGTGTTACTGTATTCATAACCATGACACACAAGATGTGGTGGATGCCCCATCCCTGGAGACACTCAAGGTCAGGCTGAACCAGGCTCTGAGCACCCTGAACTAGCTGTAGATATCTCTGCTCATTGCAGAGGAGTTGGACTAGGTGACCTTTAAGAGTCCCTTCCAACTCAAATGATTCTGATATAACTAATTTAAACAAGACATCTACTGGTTTCTTATTTTGCTTTTGACTAAAGAGCAAAACTATGAATGTTTCATTGCTTAGAATTGAAAATTTATCTACTCAGTGCAATGGCAATTAAAAATAACAATATAAAACAATTTCACCTGAAGGTGAATTTCAGTACTTGCTTGTCTCTCTTCAGTGAGTGTTGTCCTGTCTACTGTGAATATATTTCTATGCAGCAGATTAATGTTTTTTAGACCAGGGTACTAATATATTTGCATGGTGATAAACCATATCATCCTATTTTTTTTTCTATTTATGACTAGGCAGTAGAAGCTATTACTATTTTTATGTGCTCAAAACTGATAATTGCTCTCGCTTGAAGACAAAGCTTTGCAGTAGAAGCTTAGGTTACTCTGAGAGGCAAAATGACCGATTTTGTTCAGTGAGCTAATTTTCTAACAGGCTTATAGCACTGTGGTTTCTGCATTTTTTTTTGTGAGTAGGAGAAAAGTTTTGACTCAGTGGCATCTATGGCTGTATTCAAGTTTACAGTTTGTATTAAATCCATGTGTTACATTAAGCCCAGTGTTTATATGATAACACAATGCTAATTGATCGTTTTTTGTTCTTTTATAGAATCTGGCAGAATATTACAGTCTTTTATATTACTATAGCAGTCTTTTGCATTTCTGGCGTTTCAAGTGCCTCACAGTAAGCTGTTGTTACAATACAGAACAAGGGACAGAAGCTCTTGATTCAAAACTGTTCTATAGTAAAAATGCTGAAGGCTTACATGTAGGTATCTACCCAAACACAAATTTCTCCCTTTAACTTCCAACAAAGCTCAGGTTTCCATGTAGCTGAATGATCAAATGAACCCAGGAAAATGCTCACACGTCCTGTTCCTGTAAGAAATACCTAGCTGGAGCCTTCAGGATAGTGAATACAATGAATATGCACATCAATAAAGTAATGGAATAGATAGAATTTGGGCATACAAAAAGGGAAGCTTTTCTTCTGCTTATATGCCATCTTTTGCAGGTGTGCAAAAATGTATATATTAGAAGCAATGGTAACAAGCCCTTTCTTGCTGATGAGTGAAAGCAAAGGTACTAACACTTCAGCTAACATGGGCAGTGCAGTTCATGCTTCTGGTCAGAGTAAATGTTATCTTAACACTCAATTAAGTCTTACACTTAAGAAACTTAAATCTGCAAACAACTTCAACGCATGACTTAATGCATGGCTTTATTTCGTAACTGATTTAGTCTTCCTTTAGTTTCTGACTATTAACTCTTGGTTAGCAAGGCCGAGCTCAAAAGAAAGGGGACAAATTGCTTCCGTCTATGCTTTGTAAAAATCTTTTCCCTGGAAATTACATCAAGATACTTCACCTCTTGTAATCTATGTTGCTGCTCTTTGACACTTGTTTGGCAACTGAGACAGACAGGATTCAAAACATTATCTTAGAGGTGAAAGGCTACATATCCTGTTAGTGGGAAAACTTTCATCTACAAAAAGCCGTGGTATTTGTCTAGAGACTAAGGAAAATCTGACATCAGGAAAAGCCTTTGTGAAATCCACTACAGTAACAGAGGTATTCACCTTGATTTAAAGCATTATTTTATGGTGAAATCTAAAAATGGAGCAAGATTGGGCTATAACTTAAATGCAGGAACTAAGACAAATAACAATTTCTGTGAGGAAACGGAAGTGCCACAGGGATTGGGTTCCAAAGCAAACTTGTCTTATGAAAAGGATATGAAGTGAAGTAATGGAAAACAAACCAAGGATTTAAAAAAATATTTTCTGTCAGAAACGATAATAAAAAATGAAAAAGATAAATAGTAGAATTACACAACTGCCTGACATTCAGGAAGGAAAGTGTGCTTTTGATTAATATACTCAAGAAACTGCTAAAAAATTTATCCTAGTGGAATTAGTACCTCTAGGATGTTGCAAAGGTCAGAAAAAAATGTGCAGTATTGATTACTTTGCCTGTGAATCAATCCTGCAGTAATGCCACAATGAAGATCTAATACAGTTGGTCCTGTTTGTCTTAGGACATTTTCTGGATTTTTGCTCTTGAAACAATTCTCTTTAATGAAGAGTTACTGGTTTTGGGTTTTTTTTTTTTTTGTTTTCCCTGCTTTGCTCTTCTGTTGTGGAGGAATAAGAACTCAACTCAGTTGCAGTTTAGCAAGAATTAAACATGGAGGAACTAGAGAGGGAAGAAAATAAATAAATTGCACCCTTCCCAGTGCTACTTGGTTGGAACCAAATGACAGCACAGTCATTCTGCCATGCTTTCTACTGGTTTCCATCAGTAGCTGGGATGTACGTGCACAAGGGGAGGTCAGGCAGTTTGCTGAGCATTGCCTTTTTTACTCTGAAATCGTGACCTTCCTGCTCCACTGAACAAAGATGGTCAGGAGTTCCTGGAGCAATTTTCCAAATAAAAGATACTTTTTTTGTAATCCAAATTTCTTAAAGGAATGTTTCAACAGAAGATTTTCCAGTAGCCTGCTAATTCAGATCTGTAGGCTGAGAGAGACCAGAGCAAAGGCTGGATAGAGAGACAGAAATACTGCTTCACAATGTGCCATGATGTGACCCACTAGCACTGATGTAGAGATCAGAGTCCCTGGTAAAGCAGCCTACTGAAGTCAAGAACCCGCTCCCCCAGTATTCTCCTAATTAGTTCAGGGCAATTTTTTTTTTTTTTTTTCTTAATTTGTATTTTATTTTATTTTTTCCCACCAAATGATCAACAAAAAACACTCCTAATTCAAAAATACTGAGTTTGACCGTATGTGGAAAAAACTTCTATGGAATTGGGCTTTTAAGACTATCTGTATTATAGATGCAGAACAGAAAGAAGTCAGTATTTGAATCTTTAAGCTTTTGCCTGTATCTCCTTTCCAGCAGATAGTTAATTTATTAATTGCCAGTATTTTTTAAATGAACTAATGATGCCATCAGAGCACCATGAATTGCTTTTACTTTGCTATTGTCTTTGGTTTTCTCCAGATATAACCTTACCATACGTAGATATCCTGGAGAAATGAGCTGAGTATGGAAACCTTTACTTGACAGTCTGTTTGTTGAACAGCACTGTTGGAGGAATATGGCACCAGAGCATTTCTCTGCAAGTTCAGAGGATGTTCTCATTGAGAAAGTCCCTAAAAGTGTCCTGTTCCCTATTTTTTAGCTCTGAAAAAACAAAATGTTTACTAAAACTTGCCTTCCTAAAGCAGTTGGTCTTCAGTAAGCATCTAGTCCTGGATCTGTACAACTGAAGATCTTCAGGCTCCCTTTTGCCTACCTCACACCAGCTCCATGTCTCCATGTCTGCTTTGCAGATACTTTGGTGAACCGGTGAAGGGTACGGGGTTGGAGAGAGGAACGCAGGAAAGCTTAATGTCTCAACAATGCCTTTTTGCTACCATCTAGTGGTGATAGACAGGTGTCATAATACAAGTGCTTGCAGAGAGGTGGATTTTAGCAACAAGGAAAAAAGATGGAGAACTGCATACCAAATGCAGAATGTCTTTGCTGGAAGATTTTGCTTTGCAGTCCCCTGGTGCAGTCTATGGTGCAGTGCAGAGAGGCCAAGGCAGGGCTGTGCTCTTGTCTGGGATCCAGCCTGCCTTGATACTACAAGTCTTTCTTTTGCTGTTCCCAGATGATTGATGCTTGCCTGCTTTGGGGTGCTGCAAGATGTTAGACTGCCTGAGATCACGTAATATCTATGATGCTGAAGGAAAGGCCACAGTTGTCTTTACCCTGCAATGAGTTTCATCAAGAGAGCAGAGGAGACTTTACTAAATATCCTGGATCATGTCGTAAGGGACACAACACATCAGCAATAACAAGGCATGGTAACAATACGTCTGAGGGCTACAAAGATGTAAGTCAAGTCCAGAACTTTCTATTACGTGTTGTGATAGGTGGCCCCAGCCTAAAAACATTGCCACCTGCCAAAATGGGAGACTATTTTCCTCGTAGATTAGATGTATATGCCAAAAATGGAGTGCTTGTTTTAAAGAGTACAGGAGAATCTCCCCTAGAACTTAAATTTAAATATTGATACTGAACGTTTAAAGGAAAAAAAAAAGAAAGAAAGAAGAGGAAAGAAAACAAATGTCCTCTGAAAAGGGAAAGCAATAGATGGAAAACCTGAAATCAAATTCTGAAAGCAATTTAGTGGAAGAGACATTAAATATAGAGGCCCATTTTTGGCTCAGTGCACCACAAAAAGTTCCTAAAGAAAATGACTTACTTTATATTGGCACAGAGCTCCCTTTTCAGTATCCCACATTCTGAAGACAGATATTTTGTGTAGATCACAGTAATACAAATCCAGAATATTTCACTCGTTCGTACACGAGTGAATTAAAGGAAAAACAAATTAATATCTATTTTGGTTGAGATCAATTCTACAGCAAGTAAATACATTTCCACAGATAGATGATGGAAAAGTCTCTGTATATGTGATTTTCCTTTTGCTTAAAATTCACTTACCCTAGAATCACAAATATATGTCCACCCAGAAAGAAAACAGAAAAGAGAGAGAGTAATCACCTAATGTAAATTATATTTCAGTCCCTAATCCTGGATTTAAATCCCTTCAGGCCTCTGCAGTCAACCCACAAATATGTCTTCAGAAGATCAGACTTAGAATTGGATGCCTCAGTAACAGGAAAGAGGTGCAATCTAAACTTTACCGTGCAGCTTTTCAGTGTTAGCGGTATGAATTAGTGAAGATTAAAGCTGTCTAACTCTTGGCTTTGACAAGCTGAAGTTAGGTTTTAGAAAATACGTGTTGAAATTCAGTGTGCATGTGATAAAAACCACAATTATTGAACAAACTGGTATATTTTGAAAGGTGAATCTTATCTCACACAAACAGATGACATGGATTTAAATTTTCAGTTCTATTTAGATCCCAAATGATAGACTAATCCTGACTGTGGAATATTTCAGTCACTTAGAAAATAGTAAAAGAGAAATAAATTACAAGGCAGCTGTAGTTCTAACATGACCAAAAAAATAATGATCCATATACTCTGTCTGCTTTTCTGTAGGTGATGTAAAACTGAGTTTAATACAGAAATCTTCAAAGTAATCATATCAAATGACAGCAGAGGGAGCTATCATTTCTCCTCAGTTTATGGTGTCCTCACTAAATCCATTGCTCTCTTACGCCTTGTGTAGTGACCCTCAAGAATCTTGAAAAATACAAATTCTGAAATGTGGTGGAACTTTTCCAAAACTTTTCCAAAAGGGAGTTAGAGACTAACATGGAAGAAAGAAAATACACGTTAATATGCAATGTAAGGCCGGAAATCATCTTCTAAACATAAAGGCTCTGCAACAAGCACTTTGTTTTTACAGAAGTAAAATGTAACCAATGTTTGGCTTGTCTGGTTAAATTTATTTTTCTAGAGAAAAGGTAAATGACAGACTTGTTAATCTGTAAGTGTTTATCCCTCATGAATTTACAATTTATCTGCTACCTTTTGCTGTCCTTACTGAAGCACTCACACAGAACTGACAGGGTAACACTTGCTAAAAGTGTGCAGTGTTCTGCCCATGGAAGCCACACGGAAGCCACTCATTCATCCACTGAAAGAAATGACAAATGAACATACCGCATCCTATGCTGCCCTGTGTTCCCCCCCCTTTTCCCCCCTCCCTTTCCCCCCCCTCTTTTCTTCCCCCTTCTGTCTGGAAACTCACCAGACAGATACGAAGTATGGATCCCTTGGATTTCCTTTTTTTTCTTTCCTTTTTGGGTTTGACTGATGAAAGCGTGGCCTATGTGGCCCCAGTAAGTGAAGTACTGAAACTCTGGTCCACTTGGATTATAATGAATAGACAGGTGAGGTGTGAAGTTGCATGCTGAATTGGCTGCTGCAAATGCAATGCTGAATGTCTTTTAGGATAAGCCCCAAAATACTGAAACACAGCCCAAGATTTGTTTCTAGACACACTAGAAGCAGAATGAATGCCCCACATCCTCACACCAGAAGCAGCTAGAACAATGTCTGAGCTCTGCTTGTTACCAATCTAGAGGCTTGGCTAAGGCCCTTCCCTCTCCCAGCAGGCAGCGCTGGGCCTGATGAACCCAGAGTATGGTTTGCTCTTTGGGCTGCCAGGGCATGCTGCTGACTCATATTCAACTTGCTGCCAAACAGAACCCCCAAATCCCTTTCTGCAGGGCAGCTCTCCTGCCTCTTGTCCCCCAGGGCAGAATATCCATACATAAATACATAGATCAAGGGCTGCCCCTTTATCTTATTAAAATCCTGTGTATAAGATACAAGATTTGTGAGGAATACCTGGAATACAACAGAGTAAATTGACTGCATCTGTAACGGTAAAAGCAGAAGTTGCAAGTATTTTTATTATTATTATTTTTATTCTTTTTTAGGGAAATAACACCAAACAAGTTTGTGTGGTGCCAGCAAGTCTCACCATGCAGACAGTGAGATATGAATTTAGTTGCATCTGTCACGGGATGTAGTTCTAATCTCAATGTAATCCTGGCAAAGTTCCCACTGACTTTGATAGAATTGAGATGGCACTTCACAGGGCCTCATCAATTCAGGAAAGCTCAGGGTCTGGTTTGGCGTCTCCATTTCTCTCAAACCCACTGCAGTGTCTCATTCTTGCCTCTGCTGTTCCCACAGGCATTCGCTTATGCTTCCCTCCTGTCTGCGTGTTCACTTAGACCACCTTGCCTGGCTTTCCAACTGGCATTTTATGTCCTGATCATTGATCAGTGGAGACTGCTCAATTTGTTCATTATGGTTCTGCAGATAACTATATTGTTCCCTGGGACAACTGTACATCTATCCATTGGAAATCAGTGGCATGCTGAGGATTTTCCATTTTTGAAGATGTTGGAGGTAGGCTACAGTATTACAGATTAGATTTTGGAGTACTGCATAGACTTTTTTGCAAAGCAAGTTTGGCAGCATTTGATTCAAAGAGTTATTGATTTGTATCCATAGCCGAAGTTGCCTTTCACTAGCTCTCTGCCATTAGTAAAGGCTGCACTTCTTGTCCTTTATGGATGTAAGACTTGTTTAGGTCTTGGTTCTCTTTTGCTATTTTATGTCAAACAGGTCTGCTTCTAGACCTTTTTTTCCATTTATTAGAAAAAACACTGGCAGGAAAAGTACTATGCCTGTGAATAACACTCCATTAAGTTTAACTTACCAAGTTGAGTGAGTTAACCCAGATTCTCACATTTCTAAGAGCTCTGTCAAAATCCAGTGCAGATGTTGCAGCTAAGGGATGACAATAAGTAGAAATTTGAACAAATGAGTAAATTGTTGGTATTTTCACACAATCTGGTATTTTTTCAGAAGTAATGATTTGGATCTATGTCTCGTAGATATTGTAAAGATATACACCTACAAAGATTTTTTGTTAAGTAAGCTCATTTCTGTTTCAAGCCATAGAGGGATAGGTTTGCTATGATGCCTCCCTCCTTCATCTTGTCTTGCACTGAATAATTTGTGGGAATTAAGAAAAAGCATTTAGCCCCAGTGCCTGGCATACCTTGGGGTGCCGGTGCTGCCTCACGTGCATTTGGATTGCTTACAGGCAAGTCTATCAGTATGAGCCTAAGGCTCCAAGCAGCTGACTGGAATGTGTATTGCCAGATATGGTGATTTACAGTCCTTTGAATGTTGATTACTTGCCCTATCATACAGGGCGGCGATGTGAAGGTATGAGAAATGGTTGTTGCATAAACATTCTGTTCCTCTGACAATCAAATCTGTCAGTACTCTGCTGCCCATTGTGTTTTCATTGAAATGGTTGTATACATAAAGTAGTCAATGTAACCACTGACATCTACTGTGCATTTGTAATGAAAGACTTCTGGACACAGAATTACCTCCCTATGTGTATAGGGAGGTAATGCACTACATTTTTTGCCTTCCTCAGTCTTTATTTAAATCTTGCTGTTACATTTATTGTTATATGATAAAAACAAACAAACAAGCAAAAGGCATAATTCTGGTCTTTTGAATCTGAAAACAGTTTTGAAAGCTTTGAATTCTGAATCAGATCAAAGTTGTGAATATAACGAGGTAGTCTTTGCTAGAATTCTCATTGGCTGCAATCTTCTAAATGTAATAAAACAAATGAAGTTGATCTCCCTTTCCTGTTTTAATTATGTCACAAAATAGCTGCAATCTCCAGCTGACACTGTAATAGTAAGGGGAACTTACTGTGTTTTTTTCCCGAAATGGAAGTTTCTCATGAAATCCTAAAGAACATTTCAGATAGCTGTGATGGAAACAATAATTCTGCTTAGCTCACATTTGATTGTGTTTAAATACGGAGCATTTTGGCATACAAAACAGTATTGCAAGGGCCAATATCTCAGCTCTGTTTAGCATGCATTGTTGAATACACAAACATGCACATCTTGAAATCACACAAATGTGAAAATCTGCAATTCAGAATCTAAATTGCTTCGATAAAAAGACAGACAAAATATTTCCTTTAAATCTAAATGCAAAGTACCTTCATGCTGCTATTTTAGGAAGCAAAATTAGTAACTATTTTTTTTTTTTTTTACAAAGGAAGCATCTCTCCTCTGTACTTTAGTACTGATTAGTAAATGGATATGCGGAAAGCTCTGTATGAAATTAGACAAGCATGAATCTGTGCACTCCAATCTATTTAATACATGTTCCCTAAGACTTGAACAACTAAAACTAATGCTCCCTCAGCTCCATTGAACTAATTAAGTTAGGTCGTTATGTTAATAATGGGCTGCCCTTCTGCCTGCATTTATAGCACTTAGCAAGTCAGTGTGTGTGTGGATGCTTACTGCATGAAGGACAAAGCTTCTGTCAGTGAATTAGATTAATCCATCAAGAGAATTAATGTGACATGATTACTGTTGATATATGTGAAGAAGCAGGCATGTACGAACTTGACACAAAGAGATATCTGCAGCTGTAGGAAGTAAGAAATACTTCAAAACATTAGGCAAGGGCTATGAGCCTGTACAGTTGAATAAATGGGCTGCTCATGCCAAGATGTGCTGATGATAGGCTGCTGATATGACAAATGCACAGGGTGCCATGGGATCCTAATGCTGCTATCAAGCATATAGTTTAACTCAGTTGTGTTGATGTTTTGCTACAGAGTTCTAATAACACCTGTTTTGTAAAATATTTCCCCAGATTAGTTTTCAGTTCTTTTGCTTTCTGAAGGAGAAGAGATGCTTGAAAATCAATTTAGGAAAAAAAAAAAAAAAAGATCAGCTGCACTTTGGACATTATTTTGGTTGTTCTCTAGTTTTGCCAATTATTTCATCAGCCACTTCATCTCCCTCTGTTCTACTGACTGTGTGCCATGTCCAAGGTTGCTAATGGTTTGGAAGTTCCCAACTACTGAAATGTGGCCCCTTAAGCCAGTGATAGCTGGCTGAGAAGAAAATGCTGGATTGGCAAATATTCTTTTGTGTCATAAGTATTAAAACATAATGAAGAGTTGATAGCTGGGATAAAGGAAAAAGCAGAATTGCTGCAGTGAAAATTTATAAGAATAACAAACTTTCTTCCTGACAGAGAGAAATATGCATGTGGGCTTCTTTGTATGACAGATGCAACCATTAGAATGTAGCATAAAACCAAGCCAAAATAATTGCAAGTTTTTGAAATGATCTTAATGCTGCTTTCTGTAGAAGGTGGTGGGTAGTATTAGAATTTCAGTTATCAAGAACAAAGTGGTAGAGAACTACCAATAGCACCTGACAATTTAGATTAATCATTTACTTAGCTGCAGCTCACAGAAGCAAGCCTTGTCTTGTAGTACCATGTGTAATTTATTTTTCTTATACATAGTGAGAAAGGTACTAAGATACTCAAGAGTCCTGAAGAAACGTTCTCTAATTCACAATGCGCTCTCCTGCACTTCCAACCACTGGCTGAGGCTGCAGAGATAGGGATTATTGTGTTGAGAACACTTGTAAGCATCGGAGTCAAGAGCAAATCACCCAGATGGTTTGTTAAGCAAACAAATGAACTCCCCTCCCCCCACCCTCCCCAAGTATCTATTCAATGAAGCTGTTCATTTAAAAACAGGATATATTGATGCCATTAAAGATCTTACATATAAAATTACTTTAGGTGTTTGTCTGCAGCGTAGCGTTCATTTACAGATGAGGTTACTGTAGTGCACTCAGACTTCAGAGGCATGATTCATGGTATTCATTTGTGTTTCCTAACACGTTGCAATATACATTGCCCAACCCAGCTGTAAAATAGCTATTTGCATGCTAGCAGATACATATTAGACCCAGTACATTTTGAATACAATTTGATAGCATGTGAATAGCTGGATATAGCTGGCAAAGAATGGCATTAATGTCAGCCATAAGTATCAGTTTTGCTATGGACACCTATAGGGGATAAATACTGCAAGTACCTATCACTTCTTGGATGTATTGCTTTTATAAACAGTAGTGCAAGAGGGTAAAAAAAAAAAAAAGTCAAATAATGTCCTGTGAAGGACATTTTAAAACATTTTGGACTGTGATTTCAAAATCAAATTTCCACAAGTAAAGAGAAAAATATCATTCACTGTGGCACTTTTTGCAAAGTCTGAAGGTTGAAAGAAAGTTATTTTGTAACCAAGCACAAAATAAGCATTTGAAAAATTATTTAGCTGGCAAAAAAACACAATTTTTTTCCACATTAAGATAACTTAAGAACACCCAAATTGTTTTTTATTAGGCTTCTCCTATTTACTTCTTGGCTGACACATGCATGAGATATTCAGCCCTAAAGGTCACTTCTGAGAAAGCAATAAGTGACTGGAAACAACACTGCAGGACAAAATGATGTCTCATTATTGATAGAGAGTGATAAATATTTTACTCCAGAGGCTACAAGCCAGCTCCTGTAAATAAATTTCTATTTCTCAGCTGTAGTGACAGCTGAAAGATGGTGTGACAGAGTGTCTCTTCCTTAGTTTAATATTTTGGTTAAAGAGAGGATGGGATGGAGTGTCCTGGATGTGTCACCTCATTGCCCACAGCAAGGCCTGAGGGCTGCCTCTGTGGGGCCCTGGCTGCCTGGCCGTGATGTGTTCCTCCATGGCCAGAAGAGAGTGGACAGCCCCAGTGCTTCTCAGCCCTGAGAGCAGCAGCAACAAATGAATGGGGCCTGCATACAGTGCCCAACACACACAGCTGCCGTGTCATCCCTTCTTCTCTGGACCAGTGCTGTCCTTTAGGCTGTTCAAGCATCAATACAACGCTGCAGTCACCACAGCTGCTAACATCTCATTTTCCCTTGTGTGCGCTTTGGTTGTTTGATGGTTTACTTTTCCCCTTTTCTATTTGGTGTTGACATTCATCCTTAAAGTTTAATCATAGGGTAAAAAAGGACAGGAAGAGGAGAGGGGAAAAAAAAGAGAAAGGAAGGGAAGGAGAGGAGAGAAGGAAGGAAAGGAAGCCTTCCAGATGTTTTCCAAAGCTAGGGTGTGGGCGCTGCTACCCCTTCTGGAAAGGCAAAGTGGAAGTAGCTGTCTGTTGTGCTGCTCTGTGTTGAGGCCTACACCTCCTACATTCAGGCTTCGCAGCCCGAGGCACCTCCTACACCTGCCCACCACCACCTCCACTCCCACCATCCCCCGCCGGCCCGCAGGGCGGCGCCCTTCCCTGCAGCCACCGCCCGGGGGTGTGGCCACACATCGCCCCGCCCGCCCGACGGGGCGCCACAGGCGCGGCTCGGCCCTTTCCCCGCCCTCGCGCAGGCGCGGCCCGGCCATGTCCGCCGTGGAGCGGCGCCTGGCCCAATTTCGGGCCGCCCGCGGTAGCGCCGCCGCCGTTCCCCTCCGCCCCGCGGAGCCGCCGGGAAAGGCCGCGGCTCCGGAGCCCGCTGAGAGCCCGGATGGCGGCGGGCAGGTGAGCGCCGCGCGGTGCGGGTGGGGGCCGTGAGGCGACGGCGGCGGGGCCGACGTCTGAAGGCACGTCTCGCTGCTGCCTCCGCAGGCCCGTCCCGGCGGGGCGCCGGCGCCCGTGTGGGCGCGGCCGCTGCTGCTGAAGGTGCTGCTGTGGGCCGTGCTGCTGGCGCTGTTCGCCGAGCTGGAGCTGGGGCTGCCCTACTTCGTCCTCTCCCTCCTCTACTGGATGTACGCCGGCACACGCGGCCCCGCCGAGCGGCGGCAGGGCGAGCTGAGCGCTTACTCCGTGTTCAACCCCGGCTGCACCGCCATCGCCGGGACGCTGACGGCCGAGCAGCTGGAGCGGGAGCTGCATTACCGGCCCGCCGCCGGGAGGTAGCGGAGCTGGGGCCGGGCTGGGGAGGAGGGGCGGCGGCTGTGCTCCGCGCTACGCCGCCCGTGCCTGACTCCTTCCCCGCCGCTTCCGAATAAAGCCGTAACAAAGCGCCATCGGCTTGTCGTGACTTTCTGCTTACGACGGGAGGCCGGTGATGGACTACGCTTGTAAGAGAGTGCCCCGCTGCTTTCCCGCCCGGCTCTGTATACGCCCAAGACGAGGCACGAGGCGGTATCGGTACAACTGAAGCCGGCTGC